TTGAATTCCTCTCGTTCGCGATTTAAAAAAAAAAAAAAAAAAAAGAAAAGAAAAGGAAAAACGTTTAATTGCGAAACATCGAGCGCGAAGCTTGAACCTGGCAAACTCATAGGTTAAATAATCGCTAATTTCATTTAATTGCTCCGAAAATTAATCGGAGTTTCTTCTTTCGATAAAAACAAACAAATATATGATTTGCTTACATGAGCTTATTATAGCGAAGAGTGAGAACACATAATTGATACTGTTATCGTTATGTCGACACAGAAACAAGAATTAATTGGAGTTTCTTTAGATACACATTTTCATTTTTACATTTTCGTACATAAAATTATATAAAATATATACAAAATTATATACGATTATATATAATTATATACAATTACATACGAAAATGTAGAAATGAAAATACATATCCGAGGGAACCCGCTATTAATTTTCGGATACGAAAAAATCATATATTTATATGACTTTTTTTTTTCATTATTTTTAGGGGTACAATCAGCTTCCAAAGCAAGTCCCACAAGTTACGAAACACTCTGTATAATATATAATTTTCGATTGCTCCTGTGTCGACATAACGATAACAATTTCAATCAGTTCTGACTTTCCGCTCACTCATTAAGTTCATGTTCCTGCAAATCTTATAATTCTTGCAGTTTGTTTTTATTGAAAACATCGATGCTTCTTAACCCTTTCGCGCGAGAGCTTCGATCGAAAGTAATTTCGAGAAACCATTTATAATAATAACCATATCAAATGCGAAACTTCTATCGATCTTGCTCGATCGATCATAACTTTCACTTTATCGAAGAACACCGCAAAAATAAAATTTCTACTAAAACCCGAAAGATATTTAACCTGTGCGATCCTCTTCGATAATACGATCAAATTAATCCCTTGAGGAGTCCCTCCTAGTTTTACGAAACTGTGTCAAGAGGAATCATTACTCACAAATTATAAATTTATGGTTTACAAACTCGTGCTGTTTTTTTTTCCCGAGAAAAACAAACGAAATTACACTTGCAAAATCCAGCTACGCAATGTTACGCGAACGAAGGTACAATATCTTTTGGGGGAGGGGTCGTTGAACGCGAAAGAGTCGAGCTTCGTCTGCAGAAGAAAAAAAGCAGCAACTTTTCAATTGATTTTTTTTTTTTTGTTCCGTTTTCAGCCGTTCGTCAATCACCCTACTTGTTCTCGCAGACTACGATTCTCTTCAAGCACTTATTGAAAGAAGACCACGAAGAAAGCGGACACTTTCGTTCTGGCCACACTGCACAACACTATGGACTTCCTGTATCGTGATGAAGAGAGTCACTGTCACTTTCCAGGTAAGTTACATAGCTATCCGTGCTGTCGGGGTGTTGGCCCATGTCTGGCCCGCCGCTACTCGGATGGTGTGGTCCGGGGGCTGGTAAAGAACCGCCACCCCCGCCGCCTCCACCGTCATTCATTGGCCCACCGAGCATCCCTGGCGGTGGTAATTGTGGTGGTCCGCTGTGGAGATCGTAGCCGTGCATCTGAAATTAAATATTAATCGTTTATCCACGGTCGTGTAGAATCGTCAAATAGCTACGGAATCAAATATTTAACACGTTGAACGGCAAGTGTATTTTCAGTGCTACCGAAATTAGAAATACGCTTGATTCTGTATATCCTCCTATTGCGGATGCTTTTGGAGAATTCTTAGCTGCCGGACAAGTGAAATTTCCCAACAGTGATACAAAATTTCATTAAAAAGGGAAAAACCGTTGCTTTACGCATGTAATTATCACATTATTGTGTTATTGTGCGTTAGTCTATTAACGACTAATGCATTTCATTTGCAATCCTTTTCAATCAATTTATCTTTCCAATCAATCAGCAGATTCCATTTTTTAATATTGGAACTATGGAAGGAAATTATAGTGATTATAAAAATTCGCTTAACATATTTTCGTTTCGTTCGTATGTTTTTTAGCTTCTAGAATTTTTGCGAAATTTAGAAGCTGAAGCATTTCTAATATTATTGCTTGATCTTTAAAGTGTGCACAATATGCACATTTATTATTATAATTATAATTGTATTATAATATATTATAATATTATATATGTTAATATTAATATTATATATAAATATATTATAATATTATATATGTTAATATTAATATTATATATAAATATATTATAATATTATTATTATATTACAAAAATCAGGATATAGGTATAAGATTTACTCGCTTTTCGGTACATAGGATAATTACTAGATGCACATTGGTAAAGATTTTGTTTTTCATCTATTTGTTTCTTTAAACAACCGTTGATAATATTTTAGAATAGGTCTAATCATATATATATTGATAATATTGGGATTGGCCTAATTTTAATCAACGAATTAGATCAATTTAATTAAATCTATGAAATGTCCAAAAATTTCCTTTTCTTGTTTTAAATATATTTGAAAGATGGATGGTTGTAGACCTTTGTAACCGATTATATGTAGGTATTTGTTTCTAACCATTGCCAATAGTACCTACTAAATATATTTTTACATTTATTTTAATTTCAAACGTATTCTGTGATCAATCGATCAATTACCTGTGATACCAGATGCTGAAAAGAAGGGTTGTTGGGATCTAGCCTGTCCAAATCGGTATGTAAGGCGAAATCTGTAAGTGCTTTCCACGGTGGTTGATAAGTTCGAATTTCTAGCGGTGTTATTCCTATGGAGCTCTCGTGTCTCACGGGACTACTAGCCACCATGGGAATTCCATGCATTCCGCCAAAGCCTAATTTACGGCCATCCTGCGACATAAAACACCTTCGTTCGTTAAATTGTGGCTTCAGATGCGAATGTTATTACAAACGATACATTACAGCCGATTGTTCAATTTCACTTTGTATAATCAGAATTTCGTTCTACTTGCAAGAGAAAAATATTATTAATTAATTATAAGCATCTGCTCTCCAATTTAAAAATCTGAGATGATAATATTAATATATACATTTAGAAATATTTAAAATTTAATATATATTTAAAAATAATATATATATATATTAATAATAATAGTAATTTAATTATATTAAAAAATATTAATTTTATAATACTTGAATAACGTCTATTACATTATTTTTTTTATATGCTCCCCGCTATACGTCAAGTATTAAATTAATTATAATTTAATTTTCGTAGAGACTTTGTATTTGAATCAAGATCAAAGATCTCATCCGTTATTACAGAATAGAGAATTAAAAAAAAGGATCGCGTACATTTATTCACTTCCGCGCACAACGTAAAATAAAATCGTGATATCAAAACTCGGGTGCTAACCTTCTCTTGCATCTGTTGCTTCATGGCGATAGTTTTCTTCTTGTCTTTGCACCGTTTGTTCTGGAACCATACCCTGATCACACGTGGACTCAAGCCGGTCATCTCGACCAATTGTTCCTTCATCAACGCGTCCGGCCGCGGATTCGCGGCGTAGCAGGTCCTCAGTGTGTGAAGCTGTTTCTCGTTTAGAACAGTGCGGACTCTGGTTGGTTTGCCGTCAGAACCGCCGCCGCTTTTATGGCCGCCCGATCCTCGAGTACCACCCACGCCAGCTTTGTGCGATCCGCTTTCAGACCCGGAGTCTGCGAACAACGTCAACGCCACGATTACTCACCTCGAGCGTCCATTTTCCCATGATAGTATTACGAAACTAAGTCATCTTGAGAGCTGACGGTAATAAAATAATTCCTCGTTAATGTCGGCGATTGAAAACGAAGTTCAGTTTGTCAATTGAATTAAATCCTGCTCTTTAGAAGCAACAATTACATGCACATTTACCGCGTATCTATAATTCACAAATTACGAATTTATTTTCTGTGAAATAACGTCCATTACGAAATACAATGTAGTATGAAATTATCTTGATATTTGAGATGTCAAAGAATGAGTTTTGGCGTTCATATTCTACGTTTAATTCCGTTTGATTCCGAGCTCCTGGTTTCGAGGATTGTAGGTATCATTGTAAAGAGAAATATGCCAACATGCGTAGTTGGAAATTTTAAGTTTCATGTTTAAAAATACATCGTGTTTCATCGAATATATCTAAACACGCAACTCTTTAATTTCTTCAATTCGCAAGAAATATATCTTTTTAAGTGGGATGAAAAACTTTCGTCTTGCAACGTTATACTGTTTATGCTTATTATTAGTAATAATTTTGCAGCATTTTTCTCCGTGTCTACAGAGTGTGACCTAAATATTTTTATTATGAATATGAAAATCACGAGAAACTGAAAGAAACGATGATACGAATGACATAAAAAAATCAATGGAATGGTATCAAAGTATAAAGTCACGAGAAACTTACGATATCATTCTCTCCTCTAAGTAGCAAATTGTTGTTCAAAAAGTATTCTCAATAATAAAACGAAACATTAAGAGGCACAGGTTTGAGAGAAAAGTTAGTAACAAGAGAAACTGCGAGAAATGGCAGCAAAAATATAATTGAACGTATCAAAATAAGAAAATGACGACATGTTTCACAATATCATTCTCTTCTCTAAGTAGCAAATTGTTGTTCAAAAAGTATCCTCAATAATAAAACGAAACATTAAGAGGCACAGGTTTGAGAGAAAAGTTAGTAACAAGAGAAACTGCGAGAAATGGCACCAAAAATATAATTGAACGTATCAAAATAAGAAAATGACGACATGTTTCACAATGTTCATTCTCTCCTCTAAGTAGAAAATTGTTCTTGGTCAATCCAGAGACGTTAGGTCAATCCAGAAACGTAGGAGACACGAGTTCGGTAACAAGAGAAATCATCCGAGAAACTGAGGGAAACGCTGAAACGAATGGCGACTTGTTTGCTTACGGTGGCTATTGCTCGATTCAATTCGCCGGTTGTTTGGAAAAAAGCCAACCTCTCGGGGGGAGAGTAGCTCCGACTAAATCAGGAGAATGCAGAGTAGAATGTCCCGAGGTCCAGCTGTGACTATCGACCTAACCGGTCTTGCAAAACGTTCCTCGCCAGCTAATGGGAGATCCGGATAGTGGTACAGCATGGCGGATGAAGAACGCTAAGACGAACGCCTGCTGACTATTCGAGAGGCCAGAGACAATATTGTCGATGAGCAAACTTTGGCAACGATTCCGTGATCGGTACCGGCGAGAGAGATCGGGAAGATCTTTGGGAACGTTTCCGCAAGATCGACCGCGATCGAGAAAAATCCCCCCTCTTCACCCGAGTGTACACACTTTAGATCAGAAGAAAATTTTCTAACAATTGTACGTTTAATTGTGCGAGTCGATTTCTCATTTCTCAAGATAGACGACTGGGAAAAGGCGGAAAATTTGTTTTAAAAACAATGTTGTCTTTGTCATTTTGCACGTGGTATAGAATTTTAAAATAATTATATTACAAAATTATAAAACATATCGTTAATAAATTTATTATTTATTATTATAATATAATTAATATTGATACGAATCACTAAGTTGTTGATATTTTCAAGTATAACAATTCACTTGGTGTTTATTTTCACATCGTGTAACTGAGCAAGTTTTTTGTTCTCGAAAATTGTAAAAATTCAAACATTGAAAATTTGTTTTCGCAGACTAGTTTTCGAAGATTGAAACTTACTGTAGAATTTTTTTTTTTTCTACTATTTTACTGAACTTGAAGGATTAAGTTCAAGAAATCTCGACATTTCGTCGTCTAGCCCTAATGTTCAAACTTGAATGAAATGGAGAAAAAAATAGTATACTACAAGTTTTAAAGACTAGAAACTTTGATCTTCAAGACCACGAAATGGATCCAGTTACGAAAAAAATTGTCAATACTTTCGAAGTCGTTCGAAGATAAATCCAAAATTGTCAAAAGTAAACGATTTCAATCCACGGCGAGATGGATTATTATTTGATTTCGATCAAGTCGCAACAGTTTAAAAAAATATCGAACAACAATTCTCCACCGTGGCGTGATTATGCTCATCGCTGTAAATTAAAAACTATTAAAAGAACAAGGTAAGAACGGTGCTCACCTACACGCACCTCCAGAGATCCCGTTCCACCCTTCAGTTAACGCCGAAAATTCATCAACACCCCATATCCATGTACTACACGCTTTATCTCATCCATTATCATCGGACGAGCAAATAGAAATTGTCCGATATTTATGTCGAACCTCTCTACAAACCGACGACCAAGGATAATAAAACGAAAAGGAGCGCCCGAAGTTTCCTGGCTCGGCTCCCTTGTTAGTCGCATCGATCAGCGAACGAGGAGACTGCACCAGGAAGAAAGAAAAAGAAGAAGAAGAAGAAGAAGCAGCACGAACCTTTCGGACACTTTTTCGCCGGCCAAACAGCGAAACCCATATGTAAACGGCTGGACCGAGGGACGGGCGTCGAATTTCATTAACTCCCAATTAACGAGTAATAAGTAACTCGTGCCGCGATAAGGATCCAGTTTCCTTGGCGGTGTCCTTCGGAAGGATTTGGTAGCCGCACGAAAATCGAATGTTTGCGGACGGTAAGACGAAAAGGCGGCCGAGCAAACGAAATCCTGCCGTCTATTTTTGCATCCTAACCAAACAAGCGGTCACAAAGGCAGAACCGCGTTTTCGAGAGAACCACGAGAGAGAGAGAGAGAGAGAGAGAGAGAGAGAGACTCGAAATGATTCGAAAGAAGTTGCAAGAGAAAATCAGCGCACGGTAGAAATTCTAATTCTAAAACAAAGCTAGACAAAGTGATATTCTACGGTTGCTTCGAAATTAATTTAATTAAGGAAGTATATATTAATATATATTAGTATATATTTTTGTATATTAATATATATTAGTATATATTTTTGTATATTAATATATATTAGTATATATTTTTATATATTAATATATATTAGTATGTATTAGTATATATTAGTATACATTAGTATGTATTAATATATATTAGTATATATTAGTATGTATTAATATATATTAGTATATATTAATTTCTCAGTTCTGCTAAAATTAAATTCATTGAAAAAGTACATTAATATAATATAATATGTACATGCTGGAGCAGGTTTATATACTTTTCACGATCATATCTTGTTATTGCTCTGTAATTCCATCAGACGTTTACTTATAATTTACAGTGGCTGGATAAAAATAATATCTCCCAGTCATACCGAGAAGTTTAATTTAGCCGAGGAAGAGTATTAATATGTACTGAAGCAGATTTATCTTCAATGATATTTTATCATTAATCTGTAGTTTCATTAGACGATTGATTATACATAGTTGACGACGAGAGGATTATATTTAAATAGTACAAGTTAATTATTTCCGCGTGCGTTGCTCCGAAATTCTAGAAGAGAGCTTGCAAATCTGTTTGTTATGATTTTCATTTTCAGTTCTCCCGTAATAAAAGAATATAAATTTTAACGACGAACAAACAACGATTAGAGTTTGTGGTTACTTTTCTTAGTACTCCCTTAAGGGTTCACGGAATTTTAAGAAACTGTATCGGAAATTTTTTAAATCTGTACGAAATACTAGTTTGGAAAAAAAATTTCTATATTTGTATATCACACTAGAAATTTCTATGTTTATATTTGTAAGAAGTTAGAACATCTACTTATTGAAGGACGGAATTTTAAGAAACTGTATCGGAAATTTTTTAAATCTGTACGAAATACTAGTTTGGAAAAAAAATTTCTATATTTGTATATCACACTAGAAATTTCTATGTTTATATTTGTAAGAAGTTAGAACATCTACTTATTGAAGGACGTAATACCAGAAATGAATTTTAAGGGGGTTAATTACAATTACTTTAGAAATAATTGTAATTATTAACACATTGTATTTTATTATCTTTATCCAGTGGATATGCTTTTGCTGAACGGATACAAAGAAAGGTTTTACATAAATGTTAACAAAGGCACGTTTTAAAATTAATTTACAAAAAGTAATTCAAACAGATCGTCGTCAAAAATCATATTGGCGACTTGGTATTGATATTTTTTGAATCAGACGGTGTAATTCTAACCCCCACAATTACCTTTAAATTTTCTCTTATTCTCTTTTGACTCATCATCATCTTGCGTATCACGTGAAAAGATTTTTAAATTTTCGAAATCACATAAATTTTTTAGTTTTTGTAAAAAATCACTATCACTGTCATACTTAAAGCTTTTATCACCATCACTGTAATCCGTTTTACTTCCTTTACTCTCATCCTTAGGATTAGATCTTCCACTTGTACTTGGAATATTTGATAAATCAAATTTTTCACTTATACTTGGAATATTTGGTAAATCAAATATTCTAGTTGTACTTGGAATATTTGATAAATCAAATCTTCTAGTTGTACTTAGAACACTTGAATTAAATCTTCTAGTTATACTTGGAACATTTGGTAAATCAAATATTCTAGTTGTACTTGGCATATTTAATAAATCAAATCTTTTAGTTGTACTTAGAATACTTGATATATCAAATCTAGTTGTAGATTTTCTACTTGCACTTGAAACATTCGATCCAGTAGATGTATCTTGAATTTCTTCTCTTTCTTTTTGCTCTTTATCGCTATTCATGGTTACTTGAACACTTTAAAACATCAAATTGACTAAAATATAAAAATCAGGTTACTTTTA